TCTGGACGCGACATCCCACTCGGGCCTACAACACCCCTCCCCAGCCTTTTTTTTTTTTCCTCGAGCCCTTATTTTTGGGGTGCGCCGCACACAGTGTGCGCGCGTCGTCCGCTGTGCGCGGTGCAGCGCATGTCGATGGGCCCGCATGTTTGGTAGAAATTGAGCTTTGATGCTCCGTTCTCCTCTCGTTCGGTCTGCATCAGTAACGTTGTGCGTCTCCACTTTGACTACGGTTCGTGTTTCAATGGACCTTTTGTGGAGCCCCACACACCCTGTCCGTCGGTCATTGCGTGGGTTATCCAATTTGACAGTGTTAAATTTTATTTTATTTTATTTTATTCTTTGTTTCTTAGATTTAGGGTTCCAAGTCAGTCCTTTGGGACATCCGTTAAAACTGGAACGATATAGACAAGATTAGCACGGCCCGTGCGCAAGGATGACACACATTAATCGAGAAATGGTCCATTTCCTTGTTTTTAAAGGGTTGCAAACAATGCGAAGTTCAAACTTCAAAATGACCCTTAGCCAAAAGTTGTTTGTAACTTTGTATTGCAATGTTGCACAGACGTACCGTCCCATAATGCTTTACATTTATTATTATTATTATTATTTTTTAAGTTGAAATTTTTGAACGACGACTACGATCCGAACTCAATCCAGTCAGCACCGAGCGTCCTGATTCCTGACCCCGGATCATGGACGATTCATCCTGTGTCCATGGGTCTGGATGGTAACCATGGTTGTTGAATGGCTCACTGTTTTCTTTTTTTTTCTCTCTCTTTAATTTGGACCATTTCTCAATTTATGTGTGTCATCCTTGCGGTGGGGCCGTGCTAATCGTCTCTGTATCACTCCAAATTTGAACGGATGTCCCCCCGAAGGATGGCTCGCTATAATTTTTGAGAACTGAATCTGGGGTTTTGCGTTTGGTCGTAGGATGACGACGTTACATCTGTTGCGTGGCAGTGGTGCTGTGTCGACTCCTGTGGACATATTTGGAGAGGTGTGGTACTGTTGGTATGACTGCCACCGTCTGTAGATTCTGTACATAACCGTTAGGCGAGGTTTAGTTCAAGCCTCGAGGGTGATGGAATATGTTCTTTCTTTTTTTTGTTTAGAGATTGAAGATGTTATGGCAGTGGTGGTCCTGGTGTTGCATGGGGGGGTTCATGGTCTTAGGCAAGCTGTGGATTTGTGCGGTTCCCTGGTAATGTGACAGATTAGGTGTTATTATCCGCGTCACGGTTACTGCATCAGCTCTTATTATGCAGACTGAGGGAGTTTGCTCTGCACGCGGCGTGCACAGTGTCCAGGGTGCCTGAACATGGTCAGCCTGTGATGCTCATGGTGTTGCGGAGACTCTGTGTGGCTCCCTGTTTTTCCTTTTTTCTTACTGTTTA